GGAACCATATGGAACCTGAGCAGAGAAACTAAGTCAAACACTAATGTGATTTAGAAACATAAAACTGACTGATGAAATGATGGTAAAGATGGAGTAAGAGACCCAGCAATAGGAAGCCATGGTACAAAACAAATAGGAACTTGTTAAGACAGTACAGAAAATGTTCCTAACATCCCAAAAATTCAATGACATATCCATCTCCTTAGCCCTATACAGTACCAAAGATGGACATGTTCATTGTGAATCTATTGATTCTTACTAAAGTCTGAACTGATGAAAATGTTTATAACAAAAGGACTGAATACCCTCAGAATCTAAGATACCAGGTCTTCTATAACTATAGCATGCTAACAATTTCATTTCTCCCCAAGTTCCCCACATCTTCTTTTGTAGTTCTTGTAATTGCTGCAATGAAGTACAGTCAACTACTTGAATCTATGGGTTCTATATTTATAAATTCATAAAAACCTCAGTAGGAATATATGTAAGAAAAATTGCTTTGGGACTGAACAAATACATATGTCTCTACTTGCCTCATCCTGGTGGCTTGAGTCCAGCCAGGCTTAGGGCAGTGAGGGAATGAAGAAAAGAAAGACACATTGATCCACATACAGTAAAACTGGAATCAAACAGAGTTCTATAACTGCCCTAATTCAGAAACTCAATATATTTCTTAGGTATAGGATAGGGAGGGAGTTAGCTAGTCTCAGAAGAAAATCTCTGTAGATGAACAGTCTCTGGCCATAAACATCCAGGAGGAAGCTGCTGTAGTTGTTAGTTTCTGTGCTCTCAGATCAATAGTTCATAAACACTCAGACTCAGACTCCTAAGAAAAACTGCTGTTTCTCATGAGCATGGGCCACATTGGTAATCACTTTTCAAATTTCCCATAGGGTCAGTCTTGAAGGCCTTGACAGGCTATGTCAAAATATACATTCACTCTGGACATCACTTACTCAGGGTTTTCTCTGCTCCCTACACCTATAGTTTATAAGATGTCCTTAAGTTGTATACAAGTAGAATCCTCATTTATGTAAGGAACTCACATGTCAGCCAGGCTTTTGTACCTACATTATATCCTAAAAACTAGTCATTGTGTGTATATCAGTGCTCTATCCTATCAAGAGACACCATGACCATGGCAACTCTTAGAAAAGAAAGCATTTAACTGGGGCTTGTTTATAGTTTTAGAGATTTAGTCCATTGTTGTCATGGTAGGAATCATGGTGGCATGCAGGCATGAATATCTCAGTCATACAGCTAAAATTTTCCTGGTCGCACCTGGCTCCCATGAACCCACGGTCCCACAGCTGCTTGGACCAAATGAACACATAGAGGCTTATATTAATTATGAACTATATGAACTGAGTCTAATGACTCAGTCTTCTTGCTAGACTTGGTGTTAGAGAAGTAGTTGAGAATTCTACAACTAGATCTGCAGGCAGCACAAAGAGAGAGAAACTGGTCATTGCTTAGACTTTTGAAACCTCAAAGCCTACCCCAAGTGAAACATTTCTTCCTGTTATGGAGTCCCTTCAGGATTCACATCCTGCAGAGAAACCACAAAAAAGAAAGAATAAAACCTCGGTACAGCTATACTTGATGAGTCAGACTGGATCAAAACTTCTAGAGTCTAATACCATGGTTTAATTCTCTTCCACATTTAAACACAGTCAAAATTTTGGGGAAAAGTCTCCATGTGACAATTCTCTCATAACAGAGCTTCAGGCTGACTACATCAAAATTTCCCTTGCAAAGCACCTTGACCATTATAATAAGAATGAGTTCTACTGGCTGTTCAACAGTGCCCAAGAATGAGGCCTAAAGGTAGGAATGATGAAAAGCATAAGGATGGGTTCTATTGAAGAAGCATGCAAAGAACATGGACCCTCCTTCATAAAGACAAGTTCTAGTCACTAATAAAGACTGTGGGGGTCCAGCCTCTAATAGTCTTTTCCCAGGGTTCCAGCAAAGATACTAGCTGTGAGAAATAATCTGAGGAAATGAATCTAAGTACACTGAGGTCTTTAGTCCATTCACTTTATTCTTCCATTACAAAATTCACCAGTTTTCTAGAGGAACCAGTTTACATACACTTACAAGTAGTAACTCTTTTACAACACAATGCAAGGCTTTCAAGGTTTTCACAAGAGCAGTGGTAGTCAGTTTCATTTGCAACCCAAAAGGAAAGTGAATAGAGGAGGTGGAGTCAATTAAGGGCTGAATCAGTTAAAAAAATCTGAAAGAGAATTTATGTGCTCAAACTATATTCTTAGAAGTAGTTAAGTAAAATGTTAAGAGTTTAATCATGCATGTATTCAAACTACAACCATAGAAGTGGTTACGTTAAAGAGTCTACACATCAGTAAAATAAGACTGCCTTTTTCTTAGTAAAATATGTTTTCATTTTCTGGCAGAGCGCGGGGCGGGGGGTGAGGGGGGTGGGGGGGTAGAGCACTCAGTAGGTGCTAGGTATCCTGTGTCACAGCTTGATGCACCTGGTGTGAAAAGGCCCTTTTGTTCTGAGAAAATTATTTGAGGGGAGTTTAGAGGTGCCGCTTAGGCTGTGAGAGAAAGAGGGGTCTAAACTTTATTTGCAAAAGAAGCGAAGCTATGTACCTACTCTCTGCCTGGCCTAGGTGGTGTCTCCATATGGATATCTACCTTAATTCAGGAGACTAGCAGGTGGTCTGGAATGCTTATCCTGTTTGCTGTTTGTCCTTGGATGTTTGATATGTTTCTCCAATAAAATGCTTTTGTCCAGAGCTGGCCCTGGCCTTGGATGCTTGCTAAAGGAGATAATTGCAGAAGGCAGACATCTGATTCTAATGCTAAAAAGAGAAACAAAAAGCTTGGAAGCAGGAAGCTCTGCCTGTGTGACTGTTATCCAAATACCTAATTGTGTATGCCCGAGGAGTGATCAATCCACACTGTTTAGAAGTTCTTAGGAAAAAGAATCAATTGGAGAAACCTTAATAGTGCACACAAAATTCATAGCAGAAAACAGCTGATATCTTCAAATGCCAAAATAATACCAATATTCCTTGAGCCTTGGCTTCCTCTGGAAAAATCCTTGACTTGCCATAGTCGGTTGAATTCCTACTTCATATTTCTATGGCCCATAGCAAGTCATGGAGAGACAAAGCCCAGGATTAGGGCCCAAACAATTCTCAGAATCTGAGGGAAATTAAGGGCAGGCTGTCTCCTAATATAACAGCAAAAGATCACCAAGTTGTTTGAACACTTTTACTCCAACATTCCTGTGACCAGGCACCACTCACTAACTTCCATTGAAGAAAATAGACCTGTGTGCTTTACAATTCTGGTCTATCCAATGCTTACTCTAAGATGTGCTCCCTACATCCTCCCATTTCTAATATTCTGAAGAAAAAATAAAGACCATGGTTGAATTAATTGCCTCCATGGCTAGTCTAATTAAACTATGCAAGCATAAAAATTATAAAAATAGCTAACAGAGGACTAAGGAAAGGGGAAAGCCATTATAGTCAAGAGGGCCATTCAAAGGTCACTTAAGAGATTTTCTCTATTGTTTTATGTAGATCATTAATTTGATTATGAATAGTGTGGGAAAAAAATCTGACAAATTAAAGCAACACATGTCAGAAGTTTGTTGACAACCAATATTATGTTTGAGAACAAATAATCTACAGTAGCTCTATTTTGTAAAACTATGGTCCTCAATTCACCCATTTCCTGGTTGATTTTGCTAATATCTTTGCTATAATATTAGTATTTTTACTAACTGTACAGGCCATTTTTGAGACTTTTTTTTTTTTTTTTTTTTTTTTTTATTCCAGCAAGAATTCCTGGAACAGGCAATAAAAAAGCCATTGCAGATGCAACAGTTAGAAGATCCAATATATGTAAAGAATCATCACAATTCTTAATTCTACTGATTGATTGCAACCATTTACTGAGCAAAGTGGTGTAATATGGCGTATTCTATATAAACAACTGGCTGGAACAGCAGTATAAATAGCATTTTCATAAAAAAATATCCATCCCGAAGGCAGTTGTTTACCAGATAGAGGGTGTGAATAAAAGTGAAATTGCAATCAGGAGGGACATGGGTGCATTTGAAGCATAAATAAAATGATAAAAAAAAAAACAAAACACCATTGATGAGAATATTGGGGGAAGCCTTATAGATGTGTGTATAGGTAGATTCCATATTGTCCTCTGTTATTTGAGCATATGCTTATGGGTGACTCCATATAAATTTCTTTTTAAGAGCCCTGGAATAGACAGGCCTCTGATGCAAAAAGATTGTTTCTGTTGACTGTCATAAGTCAGAAGTTATTTTCTAAGACATTGGCAACAGATAGTGCTATTCTAGGTACAATCATATCATCTTTGTTTAGCAATACATCAGCTAGTCCCTTTTTCATTTTCAAACAACTATAGTTCCACTATCAGAACTTTGTAGAGTACTTAATTATATTAAAACCCATATCATTGTGTTTGGACTGATCAGTTTAGTACAACCAAAATATCCACCACTCATATGACTAAATATTTGTACATAAATTTTTTTTTAGCAAATATTTAGTAAATATTTGTACTAAATATCTTTATCTAGACAACTGGTCCTAAAATATAAAGATAATCTTTATAATGAACAAACAATAATAAACTGTCTATTACAGATGTTCCTTTTATCCTCCAAAAAAAAAAAATTTGGGTTCTTCATTGACAAGCTGAGTGTTAACATGTAATATAGTCAGTACCCATAACAGCATGGTTTTGGGATCAGCCATATTGTATTCTTGGTTTTTTTTTTTCTGCTGGGGACCGCAGAAATATATCATAAGAACTCAGCTATTTATGGCAAAATCACTACCTGGAGGAATCGGAATTCCTCCAGAGGAAGTCAAATCCCAAGGATTTTTGGCATTACTTTGCTTGTTATATATCAGCTGCATTCTGTTATGAAAATCATGTGTGCCTTCATAGTTTTCCCAATTGACTTTCCCCTAAGAAGGGTTAACAGTGTGGACTGATCACTCTCTGGACATACACATTCCAGGTATTTGGAGAACAGCCTCAGGAAAGGCTTTCTCTGGAATCAGATATCTCCCTTAGCCACTTTCAAGGACTACAGGAAATACCACCCAGGTGGGCACCCAACTTCTGAGGATAACAATGATAACAGCCCACCTGCAAGTCTCCTGACTTAAATTCCACAAGGAGACACCACCCAGGGGGCACCCAACTTCCGAGGACTAACAATGATAGCAGCCCCACAGGCAAGTCTCCTGACCTAAGGCAAATTCCACAAGAAGACACCGCCTAGGAGAGGTGGACGTTAAGTAATAGCTTTACACTATTTAGCTGGGACCCTCCCTTTACATACTGGGACTTCCAGGGCATGAGAGTGTAGCTAGAGTTTTCCTGCCTTGCCCACAGTCAGGACAAATCTTTGTCACCCGCCAGTCCCACAGCCACTCAGACCCAACCAAGTAAACACAGAGACGTATATTGCTTACAAACTGTATGGCCATGGTAGGCTTCTTGCTAACTGTTCTTCTAGCTTAAATTAATCCATTTCCATAAATCTATACCTTGCCACGTGGCTCGTGGCTTACTGGCATCTTCACATGCTGCTTGTCTTGGTGGTGGCTGGCAGTGACTCCTTCTGCCTTCCTGTTCTTTCTTTTCTCCTCTCTATTAGTCCTGCCTATACTTCCTGCCTAGCCACGGGCCAATCAGTGTTTTATTTATTGACCAATCAGAGCAACACATTTGCCATACAGAACATCCCACAGCACGAGAGGGAGAAGAGAAAAGAGAGTGGAAGAACTGGACGGGTAAGAACTTGAGAGGAACAAACTGAGATGGGGAAGAACTAGATTGAAGGGCTAGAAGAGAGTACCAGAGGAACGAAATGGAAGATGAGGAAGAGCCAGATGGGGAAGTACTAGATGGGTAAGAATAAGCTGAAAAGGACCTATATGAGGCAGAATTAAGATGAGAGAATTAAGATAAAACTTAGAGGGAGCAATAGATAAGTATAGAGAGAAATCAGGCAAAAAAGGAGCTAGACATGAGAACAGAACTGAAGCTGTGTATAAAGGATGTTATGCTAGAGGAATTCAAGCAAGTGAACATTAGAGCTTGGTGTGCTGAGATTCTATTTCCTAAAAATAGTCCTGGCCGTTAGTAGTTCTCTCTCCTGAGCCCCTGGGATGTATAATATTAAGGCTGGTTCCTCTAATATTTTACAAGATTTTCCCCCCAAATCAGGCATCTCTTCTTGAAGGGATTGTTATCTGTCTCTATACATTGCATTTATCTAGAGATTTCTGGGTTGTTGTCCTTGTTAGGTTTATCAAAGTGGGAGCCATCTGGGACTTCTTTCATCAGAAAGACAGACAGAAGTATAATCTTGCCCTTATGTTAACATCAGGTCCTTTCCATTGATTATTTTGTAGATCTTTTTATTTAACATATGCATTAGGTTGTGCCTTCTTTAGGACAACATGCTTTTGGGCAACAGCAGAAACATCATCCTTTTAAGTGAAATTTAAATAAAAAGAAAAGAATCAGAATAAGTAAATACAGCATAGTATATAGGGATATAGGTGGGTATAGCCCCCAAATTCTGCCTTTGATTTTTTTTTAATTTACCAATTAGATATTTGATGCTTTTTATGCTGTGTATAATTAGGAATTTTACTAACTTGATTAATATTAAAATTCCCTAAATTATTTGCCAACTTAAGTAGAACAATTATCAGCATTTGGTGTAATAAGAGTCCTAGGAAGGACATGCATAGAGTTATTCAACAAAGTCATGTTCCAGATAAGATATAATGGTATTTTCCTGGAGCTCCTAGGGACTCAATCCGTGTCTGGGGCTGTGCTCTCTAGCTGAATAGCTATAGGAGGGCACTACATGAGCCTGCAATTAATTTTAGCATAGATCTTTACATACCTGTTAGCAGAGAAGGTTCAACACAAAGACATCTGTAGTTTCAGATGTCAAGCTGATGTTCATTTATTACTAATTGTGTACTAGAAACCTGAAAGAAAATAATGTCATTATACTGTCAAATACTTATGCCTACTAGTATCTGATCACTTGACCATTAGCAAGTATAAATTTTTTTTTTAAAATCTATTTAATTAGCAGTGGCCACTAATTCTTAGAAAACTTAAACCTAAGGTTTTATTAATTTAAAATTTGGGATCACCGGGCAGTAGTGGCACATGCCTTTAATCCCAGCACTGGGGAGGCAGAGGCAGGCAGATCTCTGTAAGTTTGAGGCCAACCTGGTCTACAGAGCAAGATCCAGGATTGGTACCAAAACTACACAGAGAAACCCTGTCTCGAAAACCAAAAAATAAGAATTAAAAAAAAAAAATACAATAAAATTTGAGATCTTTAAAATTTAGGACAATTTTAATTTTGAACTCAAGAATTTATGAGGTAATAGGATATTCTGAAGTAATAGAGAAATATTCACAGAAAATACTGTAGAAGACAATTGAGTTTTTCCATGTAACCATGGAAGTTTACATTCAGCTGATGCTGTAAATGAGACAAAAATGTGAACAATATTAAAGTATAACAGTTTTACAGAATAAAAACTTGTTGGAAGGCTTTAATTTTATTATATTTTGTAAACAGTCTGATATAACAGATGTTCAGGTTGTGTCAAAATAATTTTAGGTGAAAAATTAAAGATAAGCTTGCTTTCCATAATTGCACTTTTGGTTAGACCCCTTTCGGACTTCAAGGCAATTTAAGAAACATGCAATTATGCTTCCATTTTGTAGCCATCATATTACCCAGAAGAAATATTTGAAAAACTTTTACTTCAATTTATTTTTAATTACTTTTAAATCCATCTCACGTCTATTTACATTGTTATTTTAAATTTTTTATCTTGTATAAGAATAAGTAAAAATAAAGTTTTAGTAATAAAAGATAAAATATAATTACTTATTTTGTTCATGTGAAATCGATGAAATTACAGTTAATTGCCAATATCATCAGAGATCCGATAAAGATAAATAAATTAGAGCAGGAAGCTATTCCAAATGGCAGGGGAAACCTTTTTATTAAATATTTTAGATGTCATATTCAGCAGATCTCTGAGGAGTTTGAGGATCATCTATTAAATGTACCTGATTTTAAATAATCTTAAAGTGGTTTTTAATTACTTGCTTTAGACTTAACTTTGAAAGCATATACAGAGACAAAATAAAGCTTGTGTTTGTAAGTAAATATAGTTTTAAGTATATTAAAACATTTGCTCATTTATAAGATTGTGGTGGTATTCTAATTGTACTGAAATGTGCTTTTGATTGTATGTTAATAAATAAAGTTGCCTGGGGGTCAGAGCTATTAGAGCCATAGACAGAGTGTGGCGGTGGTGGCGCACACCTTTAATCCCATAGATCTCTGTGTGTTCAGGGATACAGCCAGCATTGGAGACATATGCCTTTGAGACCTGGGGGGCTGTACATACAGACAGTGACGAGGCAGTCACGTGTTTGGGTTTACAACCAATGAGAAGGCAGAATGACTATGAACCGACTTACACACAGGGAAATAGCTCTCTTTCGGGAAGCTGGAACCACTGCAGGAGGAAGGGTGAGATTTTAGCTCTGATCTCTGATCTCTTGGCTTTCTCTTTTACATTGGTTCGGTGTTTCTTATTTAATAAGACGGTTGGATACATCTACATAAGATGATTGTCCATTAACTTGCTTGTCTTGATTATCTTTAATAGTTCACAAGTTAGTAGCTTTTATAAGATTAGGATTTTACACTTTTATCCTAGTTGTTTGAGTCTTAAAATTTTGAATCAAAGGTCTCTTAACATTAAAATAAAACAACTAACATCATATGCTGCCTTAGTTGGTTTATATCATGTGGCCATCCTAAAATGGTGATGAAGTTATATGGCATACATTCTTTAATCATAGTAAAGATGGCTGCCAGCATATGGTCTTTCCATCCTGATGAGGTATCAGCCAAGATGGAGTATGCCACATGCTTGCTGTTCAAAAATATCTCTTTTGGGCTGGAGAGATGGCTCAGCAGTTTAGAGTACTGGCTGTTCTTCCAAAGGTCCTGAGTTCAATACCCAGAAACCACATGGTGGCTCACAACCATCTGTAATGAGATCTGGTACTCCCTTCTGTCCTGCAGGCATACATGCAGACAGAACACTGTGTACATAGTAAATAAATAAATCTTTAAAAAAATCTACTTCATATAATATGATATAATACCCATTTTTAAACAAAAATTGAATCATATACGTACTTTACTGTAGTAAATTATAACTTCCTATGGAACTTAATTATCAGTCCTTTGCTACAAATTCTAAGGTAAATTTTTGTTACAATTTTTCAGATTTTTTTAATGTATATCCAATGAATTTATAAATCCTAAGATAAAAAGTTTACATAGAACATATAGATATCTCTAACTTCCATGTATTATTTTATACATGACATCAGTAAAAATACTCAGTGGCCAAGAAATATCTAATTAAAGCTGATTGATTATAGTAAGTTTAGACTTATGAGCTGCACAATCTGAGGTGAGTACATTCTGTGCAACATGTGGAATTTGTATATAAAATTTATACTACTTTTCTTTTAGAAGTCATTCATAAAAGTATTAAAAGCAAACTCTCAAGGATTGTTAGATGTAATTTTAGATAATACCCATGAAGTAACTTTAAAAAAATCTTAAATAATTTTTTGGGCAGTAATTATTTACAGGTCATGAGTAACATATAAATGTAACCTGCTATTTATTATTTGTGTGGACAAATATTCAACCTTCATTCCATTTGGTGGAGCAATAATTTTTGTTGGCTTCTTACCAGTGAGGGATTAACTCTAGGAGATACTGTTTAGCAGCAGAATTATTTAATGAGATAATAACTTGCTCTGTTTCAGGTGTTACATTTTTATAGCATTTAACTCAGAGTTTCCAGAAATCAACTTAAAGAGAAGAGCCAAAGCCTTAGGAGTGATAGATAAGAGCATACACAAAGATAAGACCCAAAATTTTAAATTTTGCTCTTTTTTAGTTTATTTACCATGAGAGTTAAGCATTCTTTTAAGTATTGATTAACCAAGCAGGAAAAGAGAATGTGGGGGATGTCTTTCCATATGCTGTGAATGTGTTTCTATGACAGGTTAACAAAGAAACTGCTCTGGCCTTTGTTTGCTCTGGCCAAACTGTATGGCAAGTCAGGTTATCGCCAGGCAGGAAATCCAAGAGAGAGACAGGAAGAAGAAAGGAGAGGTGGAGGAGATGCCAGCAGACCGGTAATGCCACAGCCATGTGGCAAAACATAGATTAATAGAAATGGGTTAATTTAAGATGATAGAGCTAGATAGCAAGAAACTTAAGCCATTGGCCATGCAGTTTATAATTAATATAAGCCTCTGAGTGATAATTTCATAAGCAGCTGTAGGACTTTAGGTAAGAGAGATTTGTCCCAACCATGGGATGGGTGGGACATAGGAAATCTTCCATCTACAAGAGAACATCC